CCTGGTCTAGGACGAGTTCGACACAGTAGATTTTTCAGAAAATTTTAAATTGCGAATAATCTTGACCCGTAGAAATTTAAATTATGGCATGCATTTGACTCGGTATGAGCCAAGGAATCAGAAGAAAAAAGAATTTTGCTTTTAGACCTTTCAAAAGTTAGCAGAAACATGAGTGTAAATTTGGCCTGTTGGTGGCGCCAGAGAGTTTGAGTTAGAGACTCCAAATTTGCTATGGTTAATATTGAGACTGTCTTGTATCTGTCTGCCAAATTTCATAATTTTCCCGCAAGCGGTTCTATGGGCTGCCATAGACACCCAGAGCAGAAGAAGAAGCAAAAACTAACAGATACAATAGGTGCCTAATCACCTTCAGTGCTTGGGTCCTAATGATAATAAAATAACACTGCCTCCACATAAAAAAAAAAGGTTAAAATGTAAGATTTTTGTATTTGAATGGCATATAAAATGTCCATCCATTTGGATTACACTGTTTTAACATAAACTAATAAACGTAATGTGGTCGTACATGAATAAAACTGGTCCGATTTCTGTAATTGTACTAAAAATGGTTTAAATACACAATAACTAGGTTTATACATTTATCATCAATAAATCCAAATTGGTTTCAGTCTCAAACATTTTAACTAAATTAATTTAGTGCTTGTCCCACAGCCATATTTTAACAATATTCCTACTTTTTTAACTGATTGAATGTAATTGTTTTCACAATGAACAGAAGTACGCTGATTCTAAGCAATTTGAATAAATGCATTTTGAAAATATTATTTAAAAAATCAAATAAATGCAAATAGTTAATAATAAACTGCCATTATTATTATTTTTTTAATGCATTCATTGATGTATGACTGAAATACACTGTAAATGTTGTAAATAACACAACTGGAGTTGGAGTAGGTTTTACACACACACAAAAATGCTTTCTATTTCAAAATGTCATGTTTAATTCAATGTGTTGCTTGCCATTTCTTTATTGAATTTTGAAACTTTCTAGCCATTTCTGAGTGAAAATGGTTTATACACCTTTTTTTCATTGTATGCATCATATTAAGTTGATTAGTTTGTTAAAACTGTATAATCCAAATGGATGCAAATTTAATGTGCAATTTATATATTTAAATCTTTAGGCCTAGTGTTCGGGTCACATGACTAAAGCTGTACAAACTAGAAATATTCACTGCTAGTTAGATTACTTACAAACTGTAGTCCGTTAATACTGACTACAGATTACATGAGGAAACGTAGTCTACATAGAACGCAATCTAGGTTACTCATTTCATGTAATGAATTCTGACTACTACTTAGATTACTTTTAATTACTTTTTACCTAACTTATTTTAAACTTGCCATTAAATGTACCCCATTGATATAAAAAAGCACAGAGAAAGAAAATATATTTCATTCTTTGATATCAACGTCATAAAAATTCATTAAACATTACATTACTCCAGGGTTTCCCAACATGGGGTTAACGTAAGGACTGCAGTGGGTTTGATTGAGTTAATAAAAAGCTAATAATTAATCATAAATATGCTAAATTAAAATAAAAACTAAATAAAACACTAAAAATAGAAATGTTTAATTTGTTTACCTGCATGTCTATGTGACCAGAAATGTTATCAGAAAAATGTGAACATGCAAATGTCTTGTTAAATTATTGAAATATTCACTTCCGCAGGGATATTTCAACTAAACATTTTGTGGTTTGGCTGGAAAAAAAAGGGGAATCCCTGCATTACATGAACAAACATTAATAAACATGAAAACGGCAGTGACTTTTTAGAAAGGAAACTTTAAAAGAGAAAAAAAATTAGGGAAAATCAATAAATTATTTGCTGCTATTGTGTGAATATGTAATCCATAAAAAGTAACAGTAATCTGATTATGAGCATTTTAAAATGTAATGTAATCTAATTACGAGTACTTGATTTTTGTAATCTGATTACATAATCCAGATCACATGTAATCCGTTACTACCCAGCACTGGAAATATTGTTTCTGCTTGAGACTTTGAGTTAATCAACATCACATTTATGAGTTTATCCCCCGGTTTCACAGACAAGGCTTAAGCTAGTCCCAGACTAAAATGCATGTTTGAGCTGTCTCAACTGAAAATATCTTGCTCTGACATACCTTAAAATATCATTGATGTCACATGGATTATTTTACAGATCACCTCGCTACGTTTATGGACTTGGGAACATTTCAGTTGTGTTGCTGTCTATGGGAGGGTCAGACAGCTCTCAGATTCCATCAAAAATATCTTGTTTTCCGAAGATGAACGAAGGTCTTACAGGTTTGAAACGACATGAGGGTGAGTAATTAATGACAGAATTTTCATTTTTGGGTGAACTAACCCTTTAAGCTAAGCCCCGTTTGTGAAACCGGGCCTATGAGTGTTAGAGATAAAGCTAGATCTTACTATAGTGTAGGTGGGTGGCGGGAGGAAGGAGGGCTGGTAGAAAGCAGGATTGGCTCCAGGTTGACAGGCGATGACGGGCTGGTTGGGGTACTGTGGGTACATGAGGCAGGCTGTTTTAGGATCCGGTGGGCTGTATGGAGGAGGGTTGGGTGGGACGCTGCTGGTCGGGCCGGTGCCTCCTGCGGGACCCGTGTACTGCGGGTGGAGGGTGTGGGTGCTGTCCGAGTCGAACCCCGGGTTCAGGGTCCGGTTGCTGTCGGTGTCGTATGCGTGATGGGCCGTTTGGATGCTGTCCGTGTCATTCGCCGGGCCGGCGGTGAGGATGCTGACCGAGTCGTATGCAGGAACGCTGGGTAATGTCGTGGCTTCTCTCTGTCCGGAGGAATCATGAGCTTCCTGGAGCCCGGGAGACCCGGGATGTGTTCGATCATCGTGGATGTTTGGAGGAGTGGCTGATGAACGGGACACACAGATGAGAGGTTAAAGGTGATGTTATTTTTTATTTGATTTAAAAATACACTACCATTCAAAAGTTTGTGGTTGGTAAGATTTTTGTTTTTGAAATAAGTACACTACCATTCAAAAGTTTAAAATAGCTGTTTTGTAAATATGTCATAAAATGAATGTTATTCCTGTGATTCAAAGCTGAATTTTCAGCATCATTACTGCAGTCTTCAGTGTCACATGATCCTTCAGAAATCATTCTAATATGCTGATTTGCTGCTCAAGAAACATTTCTGATTATTAATGTTGAAAACAGCTGTGCTGCTTCATATTTTTGTGGAAACCGTGATACATTTTATTTTTCAGCATTCTCTGATGAATAGAAAGTTCAAAAGATCAGCATTTATTTGAAATAGAAATCTTTTGTAACATTATAAATGTCTTTACTGACACTTTTGATCAACTTAAAGGCACAATATGTAAGATTTTTTTATTAAAATATCTAAAAATCACTAGAACAGTGTTATATATTTTGCTGACTTCACTTGTGTACTTACATAATCCCAAATGTTTCGAAGAATGTTTAAATCCAGAGAAATAAGCAATTTTAACTAGTGACACGGACC